TTGGAGAACTTAAGCTTGCCTCCGCGGCCGCGCTTGGCCACGTCCTTGCCCTTAAGAGCAGCGACATAGGCGCCCACGCCTGAGGCTTCAGGGTTGTCATCCACTTCCATCTCGTCGTCGTCCTTACCAAGGATGAGCTTGCCGTCGAGATCGACCTTAGCCTTGGTGCGTGTAGGCTTGCGCATCTTGACAGGCTTGGTGGAGGAGATGTTGGCCAGGGCCTTCTTGTCGAGAAGATCGAGGGGCTCGTCGTCGTCCTCGACAATGTATGTCCTGCCGCCCTTCTGCGCCTTCTTTGTTGGCCTAGCCTCGTCGTCTGAGTCGTCTCCATCGTCAGAATCACTGCTGTAAAGAGCTTGATCGTATTCGTTCTCGAACTGGCGTTTAGATGGGCCATCCTCGTCATCATCACTCTCCTCTCCATCGTTATCACCCTTGGCTGCGTCCTTCCTCTTCTTGGCACGCTCCTTAGTCTTTCGAATGTTGACCATCAACTTCTTGTCGTCATCGGGACAGTTCTTGTAGATGTTTTCGTAGCCAAAGCGACGAACCATGCGCTCAATGATGTGCTTTACCTTGGCCTTGAAATGGCCCTTGTGCTCGTGGCTCCAGACAATAAGGTTAGGAACAAGGGTTGAAAGGCGAGGAAGCATCAGCTCGATGGGAAGGCTAATAACGCAAACCTTGACGAAGCCTAAGCAGCTCTTGACGATCTCTCGGTTGTTGGAAGTAAGGAAAAGGTCCATAGTTTGAACCAAGTCAGAGAGAGTAGCATCGCTCAAAGCACTTCGGAACTCATATAGAAGTCGGCTAATGGCTGTGATAGAAGCAGAAATCATGTGGGGTGTGCTACCGGCCAGACCAGCGCTAACCATGGTGATGAACTCCTCAATGTTGGCAGTTCCAGCAGGGGCGTCATTGGGCATGTGAGGAACCTTGCTGTTGTCGATAGCTGCGCCGTTAGCCTCGACCATACGCTGACCCATACGAACCAGAAGATCGTATGCTGTTTCACGCGCACGCTCATTGTTCTCCTTGCACGAGATAACAACTTCGCTAAGCACGGAAGGGATGAAGTGAAGAGAGGCATCGGAGATGAAGGGGAGGAGGGCGATGATTGCGGCGAGACGTTCTCGTCGAGCGGGCGCTGAGACCTTCTCGGTACTGGTGACGATGAGGTTCTGGAGCTCAGCAGTTCGCTCCTGAAGAGCAGCCTTGCCGATTTCTGAATCCGCTAGACGGGGGATGAGCTTGTATGCTTTCTTTTGAAGTTGAGGCTCCTCCTCCTTGTTGATGATGACAGCAGCGATCTCGAAAAGGGCGGCAAAGCTTTCTCGGGGAAGGTAGACGGACATTGTGATAACGAGGTCCATCAAAGTCTGAGCTGTCGAAGGCATGTGGTCCTTTGACTTCTGCTGGTTCTCCTTCTTCTTATCCGCTGGCTTCTCCTGTTGCAACTCGGTAGCAAGCATCTTGCTCACGCGGTCAAAAGTCTCCATGAGCTCAGCGTTGGGTGTGATGCTGAGGAAAGTGTTGATGGTCTGCAGAATAGGACCGCGGCTTTGGGGAAGGGTCTGTGTGTACACATTGAATAAGACGGCGAGCATGTTGCCTGCGAATTGGGAAAGATATTCGAGGTTCTTCTTAGCATCAGCGCGGCTGATTCGGCTCTGGAGAACAAGGTTCTCTTCCTCCTCCTCGATATCAGCAATAGCCTGGTTAGACTCGATAAGGGTCTTGAGAGCTCTGCAAACGTCCAGTCGCAGCTCAACCTGCTTGTACAGAAGGTTGGCCAGGATCTCCGCAAAGCCCTGGTCGAAGGCCTTAGTAAGATCTAGAGGAAGGTCGCAATAACCGGGGAGAATAGACCAGATCTGCTGAACGACTGTCTCGTAGATCTTAATCTCCATTGTCTTCTCAGCCTCCCCGTGGTCGATAACCCTTTGGAACATGAGTTCACTGAGGGGGATCATCTCGCTCTTGAAATGAGCCAGATTTGTGTTGCTTGTGTAATCACGGAGGATAGGGAACATCCAAGCACGACCCGGCTGGCCCTTTGCGGGCTTGGCAAGGTTCAAAGGGAGAATTGATAGAACAGCCTCGGGGCCCATAGCTCGAATCGCCTTTCCGATCACTTCATCGGCATCCTTCTTGTTGCGGAAGGATCCGTTCTCGCGAATCTCACCAATCGTCTTGGTAACGTTCATCATGATAGGATAGGACCTCCATCTCAATGTGTCGAAGATAGCGCCGAGGACGTTGAAGGTCTGCAGCCAGGCAGCCTGGTACTGAACAGTCAGAAGGGATTCTGCTGACTTTGCGAGCTTCTCAAGAATCTTCTCATCGTAAATTGAGGGCTCGAGGATGACCTGTTGGGGAATGCAGTTGGCCATAAAAGACACCAAACATTCTGAGGCGGAAATTCGAATGTTCTCAGAGGGAGCCTCAAGGAATTGAGCAACCATATCGAACAGCTGGGGAAGGTTCTGGAAAGTCTCGTCAGGCTCAACTTGCGCTGAAACATCATATCCTCGAGACAGAATAGCGAGCCACGGGGGAACAAGCTGCGTGTCGTTGGCAGCAGGTCGCAATTCAGAGATGATCTCCATAAGTCGTGGGAGCTTAGATGAGGAAACTTCATCAGTCATGCCCTCGAAAATCATCTCGAAAATTTCGAAGGACGCCATGGTCATGTACTCGTTTCCACTCTTGGCGATACCCAGTAGCATCTCGCACAATGACTCGATCTTCTTGCTGGGCCAGCCGCCACTCGCGGCCGCAACAGTCTTGACCAGCTGAAGGGCGTGGATCATGGCAGGATCGTGAGTGCCGTCGGCCTTCTTTCCCTTGCGCGCCTGCGCAATTTGGCCAGCGAGGTTCTCCAGATTTTTGGTGGCAGTCTGGGCGCACATATCGGCAGCAGGGTGATCCAGAGAGGGGCTCGGGGGTGGGTTTCGAAGGACCTTCTTCAAGGCTTCCTGCGACCTTCGACGTACTTTCGGTCGGTGGTCGATAGACATGTTCAAGAGTCCCGCGACGGCTCGTCGAGGGCCAATCTGGGAAACGGAAAGCTCCCATGATGCGGCGTCCTGTGCGAGAAGAAGCGACTCAAGACATCCTATGGATGATCGCAGAAGCATAGCCTCCGCATCCTGAAGTAAAAGTAGGGGCGCGAGGAGAGTAAGAATCTGCGTGAACTTTGATCGGAGAAGAGGCTGCGGGGCGTAAGGTGTAACGACGTCGAGAAGGTAGACAACGGGAGTCGCCAATTCTAGATTCACATTGCCATTGCTGTTCGCTTGCTGGAGAAGAGCCAGAAGAGCCGCAAAGTATCCTGTGGGCGTAGGATCTGTGTTCTGCTCCTTGAGTGTGGACTCGACAGCTTGAAGAACGACGACAGTCTACAAGAAAAAAAGATGTCAGTGTGCGACTCGAGACCGTGGACGCATTAAGACGAGAGCGCATGAAAGAAACATACCTTCTTTTGACTCTGAAGACCTGGGGATTTGATCTTGTCCAGCTTTTCAGCCAGAGAAGGGGTCGACATGTTGATTTTGAGCAATTCAATCCGCAACCACCAACTGAACTGGATTGTCTGTTCGGTGAAAGTCAAGATCCCAGCCAAAAATTCCCAAATTTTTACTTGCTTATCGCACCCCGCCGAATCGATAAGGATGTGGGGTGGCTAGTGTATGGCTGCGCCACATTTGCCAACCACCCCATTATGAAGATGTGGCGCCAACTCTACCGCTGTATCCGAGCGTCCTACGTTATGGGCTATACTGTCCATACTATTAGTAGCTGTGCCCCTCGTAGCTGATCTAGGTTAAGGTGCTGGCAGCTCGCGCCTCTTGTTACTCAATCGCAAATACCACCTTTAGCCTCGTTTCTCTTCCATTGTCATAGAGAAAAGATGGCCTTCCTCATTCTTGTTATAGGAGACCTCCACATCCCGGATCGGGCGCTTGACATTCCCGCCAAGGTACGATCCAGCGCTCTTAAGGTCGCGCGCATCGCTAACATGACTATCGTTATAGTTCAAGAAGCTCCTCTCCCCCGGAAAGATCAGCCAGACGCTTTGCCTTGGAAACTTGACCGATAAGCACACGTACGAGTACTTGCGATCCGTCTCCCCCGATCTCAAGATTGTGAAAGGCCGCTATGACGTCGAGGCCACCTCCCTCCCATTGACCCAGGTCGTCACCCACGGAAGCCTTCGCATTGGATTCCTGGAGGGATTCACACTCGTCTCTAACGAACCAGACCTTCTTCTGGCCGAGGCGAACAAATTGGATGTGGATGTTCTGTGCTGGGGTGGTACTCACCGCTTTGACGCCTTTGAGTATATGGACAAGTTCTTCGTAAACCCTGGCAGTGCGACCGGCGCTTTCATGGAGGGTTTCAGCCAAGAGGCCGAAGAGCCTACGCCGAGCTTTTGTCTCATGGATGTATGTTGTTTTCCATCTGTCTTTATAAATGCGGTTACTGACCCTACCCTAGGTCCAAGGCATCTCGCTCACCCTATACGTCTACCAATTACGAAAAGACGACAAGGGCAACGAGAACGTGGCAGTTGAGAAGGTGACATACACAAAACCAGTAGAGCCTTCAGGAGGAGCATCATCATGATTTTCATATAGATACGGGGAGTTTACATTCAGCGACTCATTCAAGACCAGCAGCAGAATCTATACCCAGTCACACATTAAACCGTCACGCAGGGTCCTCGCAAGAGAAAGAGACTTGTCTCAGATCCAACCAAGCATCAATTGGTCAATTGGGTGCTTGTCAAAGAACATTATAACTGTAAATACAATTATTGAAAAAATGCAAACAACTATCCATCGCTTTGTAGAGGTATCGTGGGCATATAACCAGTCTGGATAATTCCCGTTGAAGCAGCACCAACGCTGACAGGCAACAGACTCCTTTTGACGAAACAAGAAAAGACAAAAACGCCCCAAGATGTTCTACCAAACTCCGCTCGCAATATGCAATCATTACAGCATCATACTCCTTCGTCTTGATGAGGCACGTTCCCTAGCTTCGGAACCCTCTTCGTCATGAACAGCAGATGAGACGCGCCGTGAAGTTTGGCGGCTGGCGGTCTTTCTTTTATTTCTGACAGGGGCCTGTTCTTCATACTGTGGTGATGAGGGGGTGAATTCGTAAATATCGACTTCGCTCAGTCCGGTCGTGTCGGATGCTGTTTCATCCTTGCCATCCTCGTGTGAGGTTTCGCTGCCCGCAACCAAATCCTGGATCGTCATAGAGCTGCGCCTACCGCTTCGGATGGCCATGTTCTTAGCGATCTCAGGGCTTAAACTCTTTCCGGCCAAAGGACTAGCAGGAATACTGCCAGGTTCATTCTCTACGGTCGCTGCATCAACAGTGGACAGTTGCTTCCACGAGTCTTCGGTTCTACTCTCACGCTTGACCTTGCCAGTCTCTGGAGCCTGCTCAACTGCGCTGGAACGTCGGGCATATCTACCCTCTCCTGCGACAGCATCAAGCATCTCCTTTGTGGGTCTTCGCATTTTGTCTCTAAGGTTAGGCTCAGCATAGCTGACTGCAGTCCTATTTCGTCGGCTAGGTCTTGCAGGCTCTCGGCTGGCGTTAACATCTCCGGGTGGTGGAGTTCCTCCTCGTCCTGCGTCTTTTGAAGTGGTGGTATCTGGTGAATGCAGGGAGAGGAGCGAGGGTTCTGTGTAAGGTGTTGCAAACCCACACTGTACGTCTACAACTTCAGGAGCTGCATGCTCGAGGTCTCGGACAGGCTCAATGGTAATAGGAACCAATGATCTGGACCTGGATTTGGGCCGATCTTGAGAAATTTTGGATCTCACAAGATCAGCTTTGGCTGCAGCGATCTCGTCGGTGCTGACTGGCTTGGAAATCTTCTTTGGTGAAGTCATATCATCATTCGTGCTCTTTGCCGACAGAGGCTTCCTTGTACCCGTGGCACTCGCCTTGTCACGCGAATCCCTCTTCATGCCGGAGATATCTTTCACTATTCGATCTCCTACTTTTTCGCGAATCGATCGTTTCTCGTTGGACATTCGGGGGTTCTCGTTCTCATCGTTGTTCCTCTGTGATCTAATGGTAACCATGTCGTCCCTAGCGGCAAGCTTCCTCTTTGATCCTATCTTAATTTGCTGGAACTCGACCGCAGGGGGTTCCATAGCTGGTTGCTCGGCCATGATCTCGGTGGACTTGGTAGCCAGGGGGCTAGTCTCCATTAATTTCGGTTGTTGGAGCTTGGCAGTCTCCTCTGTTCGCTTCTTCTCTGGTGACGTTGATCGGGGCAGCATCTTGGTAGTTTGTGGTGATGTGAAAGTTTCGGGTGGTGCAAGTTTCGTTCTGGGGCTTTCTTGTACATGTACAGGTGAGGGAGCAGAGCGGGAAGGGGAAGGCGAGTCAATCTTGACTGGATCTTGGTCTTCTGTTTCGATAAATTGCGATACGGGCGGGGGTCCGAGTTCAGGTGACTGAGATGCATCTGCCATGTTGTCCGCGTGAGCCTCTGATCGAAGGGCCAGTATTTGCTCAGGGCTGTTTGTTGTTAGAAGGCTTCTATCCGAGTCAATGAGCTGACTTACTTCATGGACTGTCTTGGGTAGGATTTGGTCTCCGAAATGTGTCCCAACTCCTCAACTTCCCGAGCAATATCACGTAACCGTCGCTGAGAAGGGCTAGGTCGAGCAGAGCTGAAGCTCAATCTTGGCTTTGTTGATTTTCGCGGGCGTGGAGAGTGTCGTTTCATAGGGGGCTCGAGACCTAGACCAGCGAGAAGGGCGCCCCATTCAGTAAGCTGAGATTCCATCTTGGCCTTGATCGCGAGCGCATGATCGGCAATTCTTCGAGAGTCGTTGTCTTCAAGCTCCTTTTCTAGCTCCAGGATACGACCTCGAAGCTCAAGGTTCTCGGACAGCATGCAAGCGCAGTCATTCTCAACTTCTCGGATGCGAAGAGCACGGATATTATTTGATTTGGCGAGATCGCGGTTTTGACGTAGAAGCTTCTTTCGAACTGAAAATCACAAGACATTGTCAGTTCGCGTGAACATAGTACAGCAGGTGAAGACCAAAGAGCTGAGCTGGAACTCACGCGTTTCGAGACTGTCTGTAGACACAGGGGGTTCGTTTAGTCTAGCCATAGTTCATAATGGGGTGGCTTTGTGATATTGGATTCGAGGTTTCCTGAGGTTAGTCGAGCGATGATGTGTGCTTTTGTCCGAGTCACAAACTGTTATTGCATACCAATGGAAAAGGGATTTTTTGGTTGTATGTATTGACTATAGCTGTTTTTGTCATAGCGCCTGGTTACCGATTGCCTCGGATACGACCTCTGTGGAAACCCCACGTTGAACCCCACCATCGACATCGATGGACGCCAGCTGGAAACGCGGTGGCAGTTTAACTGCTAAAGGCGTTGTCAACCAGTACAAAGGTTTATTCCATCACACCATTCATCATCATGTCCTACCCAACGCGACCGATTTCCTCACATATGCGCGCACCGAGTGCCTCGGCATCGTCGAGTGGACAGTCACCAGCACTATTAGCGCGTATTGAAGAAAAGAAAGCTGAACTCGAAAATCTTAAAGAGCTTCAGGAGCTCAGTGCTGCAGTCGCAACACAAATGGAAGCTTTGGAGCAGAGACTTTTAACCTTGTCGGACGGAACAGAAGGTGAAGAAGACTCGAACGATTTCGAAGTGCTCGGGCTGAACTCAACTAGCAATTGCGGCGGTCGTTGGTAACTGGCATAATGTGCTGCGTGCCATCAACATGGCTTCTTGTATGTATTAGAACCTTACAACGGTAGGAATTGGGTTAACAATCCCATAGCCAAACTTGCAAAGACAGCAGCAGATCAGACACAAGCACCCGAACAAGCGACAGGACCTCTTCCTCAAACCCTGGTCCGAATCCCAACAGAGCATGCGCCAGCATTACAAGCCCAAGCAGAAGCTGCAGAAGCGGCGGCTGAGGAAGAGCAGTCATGAAATTACAGAGGACTTTCGGATGAAAACGTTTCAGACAAACACACAGGCTTTTCTGTGATATGATACCCATGGATCTATCATTTCAGTTCTCGTTTGACGAATGTTGCATCGAAGAAACCAATCCAAACGCACGATTGCTAGTATTCGCATCAAATTGACTTACGATGCAACAACTGAAGTTGCAGTGTTAGGTCCTCACTGGCCTATTGCCTTCTAGAGCTACTAGCCTGGAGTATACAGTTTGGCGTGACACCAAAAAGCGATACACGAGAGAAGGCATATCGATGCGGAAGGATAACCGCGCCCGGCACGAATGGTTTTTTCAAGGAATGGTTCTGAGTCGAAACCTTAGCAAGAGTCAAGGATAACTACCGGGAGGCTTTGAAAGGGGTCCGCTGGTCGCTTGACATGAGGGGCGGCCATGGTCATATTTCGGGTAGTCAACGCAAGTAATCTTTTGTTGATTTGGCCAAGATACTATCATTTTGGAGTCGAGAAAGGTGCCTATAATATCCATCTGAGCTGAGAAGACTTGAGTGAAGACTTCTTTCGCTGGGTACCTCAAGCCATCAAAGACAAGAATGCGGTAGACACCTTCTGACTTTAGGTGACTACCAATATTCATGAAATTATTCTTCAAAGAAAACTCATATGAAGAGCCGTTAGCGCCCGGGTTCTCATTCAATTTAGCCTTGTTCACCTACTTTGACATGGTTAAATTGTGATTGAAATCATATCCTGGTCGGACTCTTAGTCGATCTCATTTTACCGATTGCTAAAATTGTCTTGTGTTTGCATGCCGCAAAGTCCATCCACTGTATGATATTCTATATATAGTACTTGAACAATCTTTCAGCATACCTTGGTAGGTAGGCAATCTTGGCCCATTCTACAGTAATAGTCTATCCCATGGCTAATACTTGTATGTAGAAACAATTCACAATTTACTAATGTGGATCTCGTTTGCGCATGTCATCATACTTCTGCACAAGAGTGGGACTCCCGCTCTGGAGCTCAGCGGACCAATGAAATATGGCAATCGCTTTCACAAAGTCGAAGCTATATGTAGATCAAGGTACTTCGAACTACCAGCCACGACTTGTGAATTATCAGAAAAGTCTTTGTAAGAGAGTTGATGATTAATCTATGGTTACTAGAATGTCTTTGATTCAGTTATTTACGATTATCAAGGAAGGAAACCTCAATTGAAGTTACTCCATATGTCAAAAGAAACAGAAGGTCCGCGACAGTAAATGGGAAGGTGGTAACGATACGCACCTTCGCGGTTACCATGGCTTATTGTTATTGTTTTTATTCACGTCGCTCTGTGTGTAGCCATCTTCTTCCTTTCTCCTCTCCATCATCAACATTTTCCATAGACCCATTCGCCATTGCTTAGGTATTTTGGTCGTTCTGTCTTCATCACTTCCATCACTTCTACAATACCATCTGTGCTTTCACATTACCCAAGTCTAGGCTCAGACAAGGCCCCGCTATTGGCCGTCGTTTTGATAACCTTACCCCTGTTGTTTGTGAAATTACATCTAGATCCCTGGTTATTATCACTCAAGATTCAACCTACGAGAAGTCTGGTGGCGTCTCGTTTTCACTTATTGTCTCTCAGAGCCTCTATACACCCTGGCATTCTAACCTTAGGGACCTCCCTCGGTTCATCTCGTTATCCTAAAATCAACCATGGCTAACATGATGGCTCATCAACCCCAAGTCCACAGTGACGCTAACGAGACCCCGGTCTCTTCTGGGTGCACGACCTGCCCGGAGCTTCATTACATGGAACCTAATTCTACTTCGTATCACTTTTCCTCTTTGCCAAACCGGGAGACACTTAAGGAGCTTTCACCGGGTCAGGCCCAAAATCGGAGTCTCGCTCATAGCTCGCCTCAACAACACCAAAACCAAAAGTTGTTTCTCAGACCTGGGCCTGTCAGGACTCCCCTACCTTTGCGTCGAATACAGCACTCATCTACCGAGACCGAGACTTTCGAACCCCTCGAGGTAGTTGAGGAAGAAGAATCAATGTTGTCCAGTGCTAGCTTGATTGCGGATAGCAATCATTCTGTTGACCAACTGTCACTTGAAGGTTTGTTTCTTTCACAATCCCTGATTCCCAAGTCAACTCAAGCCTAGGACTCATTTGCTTCATGTACCAATACTAACACAATTCATAAAGCATACACTTTCAAATCGCACCCATTGGCTGATGCAGAACCCTTGAGTAAAAAACCCTATTTCTCCCACCGAGCAGGTCACTTCGAATGGTTGGTTTCGTTCCCGGGGCCACATGGCGAAGCCAACGACCGTGGCACTCTCAACGATGACAGCAACGACCATCGCAATACTGAGGCCAAGGTTTATGGTTGTACCCTGCTGGAACGCATGCCACGATACAATGACCTCGGTCTTCGCGGTCATACTGACAGTTACAATTTTCTAGCGACCCCATTAGCAGCCAAAGACTACCTGGCTTTAGGTTTTGAGCCTTCGCATATGCCCTACAGTACAGCCAGCATGGCCCTGGCACCACCAGCGTACCAAGATTGTCAAACTTTTCCACTCAAGGTGCCCGAGGTGGCGGAGGTGGTACAGCCGGCTCTTTCGCCTACTCTTACTTTAATCAGCGATCGAAGCAGCAGTTATGAGGAGTTGTCGCGGCATGGTTCTTTTTCAGTGCCCCGAATCGAGGACTCTTTTGAAGAACTCGACAAGCTTGAAGATGAACTCGAGGCTATCGATGCTGTCACTCAGGCACGACGGATTGCCCTGCCTGAAAACGCTACCCTCAGCAGTAAACATCTAGAGCCGCCGTCTCCAGCGACAAGGCCGACTATCTCTAAGAGAGCATCAGTAATCGGCATGTCTTCGACATTGCGCATCAAACCTACTGAAAAGGCACAGCCTCCTCTTCGCCGATCAACTTCTCTTGTATTTCGTGACAAGAAACAGGACGACTCGGACAATACGCCCAAGGCAAACCCGCAATTCGCACGTGGGAAGTTGACCAGCTCTCAATCTCCAGTCTCAAAGACACCTGTCAAATCCGCAAAGCCGCTTACCGTTCCCAAGTTCGAACTCCCTGGAGAGGCTATAGCTCGCCGTTTAAAGGAACAGCGCGAAGCTCGCAAGGCACAGCAGGCAGAGGCTCAGAAAGCTTATGTACCTCCACCGAGACCGAAGTCTAGTAAGCCGCTCACCAAGCCCACCTTTGAGCTTCCGGGAGAGGCCATATCCCGTCGTAAGCGTGAAGAGCGTGAGACCCGCCTCAAGGCACAAGAAGAAGAGGAACAGCGCAAGCGAGAGTTCAAGGCCAGACCTATGCGGAATAGTATTACGCCGGGTAGCATCCCACGAGAGACTATTGCAAGTCTTTCCCAGAAGGGAAAGCTACCGCCACAAGAGGACACCTCAAAGCAGCCGATCAACATCAAGGCCAAGCGGATGTCCAGTTTGGGGCCGCGGTCAGCCCCTGGTTCCCAGAGCCAGATTTCCCAGAGTCGAGGTCGACTGTCTACCGCCACGTCACATGAGAATCTCAATCGGAAGACCTATACATCTATTGGCAGCGGTATTGGAAAGCGAGCTGCCCTTTCTGCCGAAGAGGCACACCAACTCAAAATGCGTGGCCGGGAGATTTTCCGGCGAGACAACAACGCTTATGTGCAAGACAAGGAGCGTGAGAGGCGCGAGCGTGAGGAAGCGACGCGGTTAGCCCGAGAACAGGCTGCAGAACGCTCTAGGATTGCGAGTCGGGAATGGGCAGAAAAGAAACGCCTTAAGGGGCTCGCTCCGCCGCAGTCCATGAGAAGACAGTGAACACTTTGTGATTTGGCAAGCTTTCGTGTCTAGTTTCCTGATGTTCAGCTGAGGGTGGAACTATGGCATCTTATAGTCCCTTATATTTGCATTTCGTTAGCCGGGAGTTTGGAAGGGATGGTCTTTTCAGCACTTCTCTCGTGCTTTTGTTTTTTATTCAGATATCGATGCTTTGGCGTTTGGGTGGTTGAGTGTACGTTGACTTTCTATGGAGACTGGCGTATTGAAAGTCTCTACGGATAGAGATTATACACAGTTGCAAACTTAAATTCAGAATTAAGACTATTGGACTTTGCAGTCAAAAGACTGTTTCCTGATGCATCTTCGCGTGCTCGCCCTTTCGTGTCTCCATTTACTAGCAAGGTACAGAAACATAGAGATATGAACAACAGGAAAATTCAGACGGAGCTAGGTACAACTGTAAATAAAGCATACACTACAATCAATACACGGGTTCTTGATAGACGAATTTGACATTCTTAACGCACGGTCGATAACACAAGTATTGCATAGCACTTCGTTAATTCGCTTGCTATACACTTCTATAAATCCGTCTCAACATCGTTCGTCCTCCGACTTCTAAAACCATACCAAGTCCACCTGATACAACTGAAACACCTCGACTCAGAATAACTTTTTACACCCCCTTTCAATAGAGTATTACAAGGCTGTGAAAGCAAGGAGCCCCCTTTCAATCGTACCGGACAGAGCGTGACAAAACTCCGCCATCCCTCGTATATACAAGTTCCATCTCGTAATGTTAACGTACTCAAAAGGGTAGCCACCCTATCGTTGTTGCCTTTGAAGCCAAAAATAAAAAGGAAAAAGAAACCAGGAATGCACCGGTTCTGAAATGTTGTAGTTGAAAAAAAAAAGTTGCTCTCGAGATGGTGCTCAAGATGTTAAAGAGTGATTAAATTACAGCCTACTCTTGGAAAATGGCTGGATTTGAAAGAACAAAGTAGACGCCGGGAAGTGTGAAACGCCGTTTGAGTGCACATTCCACCTCCTAGCGAGAAATATCGAAGGACGTGGGTATCTTTCTAGAGACATAGGAAATTTCGTAGCGACCGATTATGGTAGCGTAAAAGGAGAAAAACAAACTGTTTTTTTTTTAAAAGTTTTGTGAGATACCTGCACTCTGCTGTGGATAATGAGAGGGGCTCTCAATACGTGTGTTTCGGCGTGCAGGGTTATCTCGAATGATGGCCTGTTGAGGTCCGTTGTCACTATAAGGGTTTTGCGAGTATTGGTCATAGTATGCGCCGCCGGCACCGTATGGTACTCCTATGGGGTCTGATGCGTCAGATCGGCCAGCAGCACTGTATGAAGAGGAAGCGTTAGAGGGACCACGGTGCACATCAGCACCACGGTTGTTGGCAGCAGAAGGGCCCATGGCTCCAAGGATCTCGCCTTCTGGGGAGTGTGATCCGTCCATCAGAGGCTCACCAGAGCGAGCATCTGACATATTTCCTCGAGTTGGTGAAGTGATGTCCGAGTAGGCGCCAGTGACACCGCCAGACAGGGTAGTGGAGGCCTTGCGACCAGTTGAGCCGATAGTAGTGTTGCCCCAACCACGGTAACCTGAAGAACCATCTTCCCTCATCTCATAGCCGCTATCTGCCATTCCAACAGCAGGGATCGTAGGGTCGGCGTTCGGGTTGTAGGCATAGTCTTCAACTTCCTTTCGTCGCTCCTCCTCGGCCTGCCTTCTGGTCTTTCTCTTCTTCCACCAAAACAGGCCCAGGAGAGCAAAAATGATAATAGCAGCAATTGGTACGGCAACACCAATGGCAACCTTGCTCTTCTGGCTCAAACCTTCGCCTCCGCCACCGCTACCACCACTGCTAATTGCATCGGCATCGTCTGTACCAGTGGCCGACACAGAGTCCTCGGTAGCTGTGACCTTTTGGGTACGGATGGCGGTAACCAAAACAATGCTCGTTTCAGGCCCTGAGCTACCTGTTACTGTGACGACAGTCGACAGAACCTCGGACGTAGTAATCTCAGATACGGCAGCTTCTTCAGTTGAACTGGGATCGTTGTTGCTGTCATCTGTGGGGGATGGGTTTGCGGCTTCGGTGGTAGGGTTGGCTTGAGTAGCGCTGTTAGGTCTTGTGGAAGGCGAAGGGTCATCAGACGAAGGTGACGCATCCGCAGCGGATGTTTCCTCGGCGGGAGGTGCGTTTGTGGGACTGGCATCATTGGATGCTTCTGCAGGATTGCTCGTTGGTTGTTCGTTATCAGTCGGTGCAGCACTTGGTTGGTTCTGAGTAGCTGAAGGGCTGTTGTTGGAGGGTTGGGCCGAAGCTGGGTCCGAGGTAGCTGGGGCAGCAGGAGAAGAATTGTCCACGGCCGAGGAAGGCTGGTTGGCAGCGTCGCTGTTGCTGCTGTCGTCGGCAGGAGAAGATGGGATGGCAGCCGAAGGTTGCGCAGCGGTGGGCTGAGCGGGTTGACCCGGTGTGGACATAGCGAAAGTAGGCGCGCTCACGCTGGGGAGTTGTCTGATACCGAGAAACATGTTAGCCAGTTGTTGGACCCTCGCATTGAGGATGTTGAGGTTCAAAAAGAGGTAGAATTCGGGAACATGCGTCTAAGGGAGACGGTGCAGCAGCAGGTAAAGTCAATCAACAGAAGGGGGCCGTTGACATTAGACGCGACAACGTCGGAATGGGACGAAGGAATATTGGCGATCAAATTTCTCCAGATCAGAAGTCTAGATTGGAGGGTGCGAGCATGGGGGTTCGAGGGAGAATGAGATTGGGATTGAGATATCATTGAATCGTAGTGAATGGTCAAGCGATAGGAGGATGAGATGCAAATGCAGGTATGCATAAATGCATCGTAACACAACGTACCTTTGGAACTGTTGAACAACCGTTGATCCGTTTCAAAATGAGAAAGAAACGAAAGTATTCGCCAGGGACGCGTCAAAGACGAAAAGGCAACAGTTTGAGATTGATCTGTTGATGCGTGAGAATGAGAGTAAGAAGCGAAAGTGAAGTTGGGTCTGGGTATGGCAGGTATGGATGGTGTGGTATGGTATGGGGATGGCAAGTCGGGCGGGTAAAAACAGAGAGAGCAATAGCCTGGAAAGGCCGCACCCACCCTAACGTAACGGGCAGGAACTCAAATGGAGGAGGTCTTAGCGGCCGCTGGAGGTGGAAGGAGCAGGAGGCCCAGGCTTGCCCGTCGACCCAGTAAATGACCTCGCAGCTCCACCAACTTGTGCCAGGACAGACCAGGACCTGGAGCGAACAGTGCTTGAGCTCCAATTCTTTTTTTCTTCCCTTTTCCCATTCAGGGCCAAGAAGGCTTTGGATTCCAGATTGAGATCCGACGTAACGTAATGTAACGTACCTTGCTTTAGTAGTCTCGGTAGGAAAACGCCGTCTTGTTCTTTGAAGCTCAGACTGAACTTGACAAACCTTAATTCACTATTCAGATACCTGTCCGGTAACGAATATAGGTGTCCTGAGCCGTTCAGCTAAGCAATTTACAGCTATGCGAACGGCAACTAAGAGAAACGGGTGCCGGTTTGCTTTCGGTAATGGATGGAGGCGTATTGCGCTATGTTACCCCGGTTGACTTGTTCGTTCTTGGACAAGAAGAGAGGAAGGCGTATCAATTAGGGAGTAACAATCATAATAAAGAAGTTGTAAGCAGAACAGAACACTCAACCAGATGATAGAAATGTCAAGGAGACGAGTGTGGCACACAATGATTAAATTCAGCATCGGGCCTTTCTTTTGGTTCGACACTGCCATTCGCACACGTTCAAAAGCCTAAGACTCGGGGCTCATCAGCCACAAAGTTGACAATTGGTCTGTCCCGATCTGGTTTGCTGGCTTCATTCGGGGTCTTCTTGGCATGGAGCCCCCAAGGACGATGCTATGGATACGAGCCGCCCCTCCCACCTCAATGAGGCTGTGTGTGTTTCTGATACTTTTACTCCGTAACTTGGTCTGCTTTCTGATATTCTCGGGGCGATCAACGAAGCGACACGAGCAGAAACTCCGTAGGCCTGTTCCGATGATGAATTGAATTGCTGTCATTGTTACTTTATTTGTTGATATTTCATTCATCGCTGTAGTTACTGAAGAAGCAAGCAATTATTTAAGCTTTACCCCAAAAAAACTCTCCCTGACATCGCCCTGGAGACTTTAATTTCCTCTGCACCAGAACCGCAACCACAACGCCACAACCAACAACCAACAACACAACCAACGACGTAACATCTACCAACGAATCATCAACACTAATCGCGCGAAAAGGTTCCCTCTTCAAGCCCTTGCCATCGTCGTTTCACCAAATGGGGTCATCACGTCATGATGATGGGGCCAAGTGACAAAACCTTCAAGAGAATCCGCCACTGAACTTCAGCTTCTAGGGATAGAGAGACAGACCCTGTGATGATCATTCATTATTAAATACACATACCTTGCAGAATCCTACCTGTTCGTAACTTTCTCACAAATGCACGAGGGAGTCTGCGGGATATTAACACATCTAATCAAATTCATCACCGAGGTGGCTGGCATTCAATCACATGCATGGCGTGTCAGAAACCCTTTAATTTAATTGTTGCTGCAATGGAATGTCATTATTCCGCACGCACAAGGAACAACAGTAACATGACATCGGTTTTTTTTTTTGTCAAAATGCTCTATTAGATTCAAGCCTGATACCGAAAACCTGATATCTTCCAACCTCACGTGCCATCAATCTTAATTCAGAGCATATATGCAATCTCGGCGCCATGACCAGAAATGTCGATGCAATGCGACCCTGGCTCTTAAGACCTGACGCTCCACGTTCAAGTGGATGATGACCACCCATCCACGATTAAATTGCACTCTCAATCGAAAAGCTTGTCTGTGAATTGAAGTGTCAGAACTGAGACATGGACACCCTTTCAAATTGAGTATTCAAAGAGGCCTAGGCACCTACTATGTACATAAGTTGACCTTAACGGTAAATGACACGATCCACCACTGCGAGGATCCCTATACTTTGGTGGCCCAGACTATTGGCAACTCGACAGCCAACGTATGTCGCTTGGCAGCCTCATCAAAGGATCGAAATGGCCTTTGTTTATCGTTATTATATGCTTTGTCTATTCAAGCTAGAACACCCTAGATTCTGTTGCTGATATCACAACCTGATACTTTTGTCCTAACATACAAACATCTCATAGCATGTATCCTATAAATTATACCACGGAGTATAGCCTGGAGTCTTTTCATGTAGAATGGTATAAGTATTTTGCACTCATCATTTGCCATTATCCCCTCAGACTAAAGAGATAGAATGCAAATAATGTCGAATTTTTCTTTCCTGTTCCTTGATGCCAGGCAGATTTGCTGTCAGCTCCACTGAGGCGTTGGCCTCCACAGCTAAAGCACAACAGAGCCCAAAAATAGAATCTGATCGCGTGTCGTCGTAGCTCCAGGAACACGGCCTTGATTCGACGGAGACTAGTGATCGCCATAATGATTTACCAAGCCTACCAATTATTCGGTGCCTTACTTGTTCATGGCCTGAAATCCGATGTCATCAAACGAACAATGAATGCGGCGCAGGAATTGGGTGTTGCGATAGTACAAAGGATACGAGAAATGTCGCGACTATATTTTCAGGATCATCACGGCTCAGAAATTAAATATCATATATCACAGTTACAGTGGAGAAATCGCAAGGTAACCCCTTATCGAAACACAAAAGAGTATAGAAACAAGATGCCAAAGTTGAAGTGATCAACGGCAGATCCAATTGACCTATGTACAACGGCTGGACGTCATCCGAGCCGACAGTCGTCATCTAGTTTGTCGTGTGGTTTTCCAAGACCGTCTATAATATGCAAGCCAGCAGGTTCCCAGTATGAAGAATAATATCGCGAGACATCATAACCCTAAAATGCGCCTGAGAAGAGAAAAATGTGCAAAGTGGACAAGACCCGCGCACGCTGTATAATGAATGCCAAAAGGACAACGCTAAGAGAATTTTTGACACTTCTGTGATGACCGAAATCTCGGATTATTCACAATAATGTTTGCGCTGCTTTTTGGTTTATCAAGGTCGGATGCCCCAGGATGGCTTCAGCGTGTCTTGTAGTGCATCAGCAGTGAACACTTGGTCGCCAGGCAGTCGGCTGACACGTCCAGCTCCGTTGCGGATGGCTCCGAGCTGGGCTTGAGACATGCCACTACGGTTACTCCTGATACTTCCAGCATCGCTCATGTTGTCGGAATCCTTGAACTTCTTGGGGGGCGCAAAGTCGAGACCAGTGAATGTACCAGACTTGCGGAGAAGATGGCTGTAACTAGTTAGTAAGAATAGTATCAATTGGGAGGGGAGACTCACGGGCTAGGAAGGGCGGCGAGCTCCTCGAAGGGCGAGGCTAGAGTTTGAGCAGCAGGTACAGAGGGGGAGTAAGGTCGTCTCTCGCCGAAGGGGCTTTGAGAACGGCCGGCTGCCGTATCACGAATGGTGCTGGGAGGGGCAAAGTCGGCGGCGTTGATGAGGAAAGAGTTGTCGTCTCGAAGCTTAGAAGGAGTGGGCAAGGTGGTCAGAGGCGCAGGAGGAGGCATCCTCTTCATGGGAGGCTGTCGCATCCTAGCTGAAGCCGAAGAGTCGGGTCGAGGGCCAAGAGCAGAGCCAGCGCGTGATCGTCCTCCAGGACCACTGTGGAAGCTCATGCCACCGATAGAGCCGTTAGGACCACGAGGACGGGGGCCTGGGCGACCGGGACCAGGACGACGGCCAGCCGGAGGAGGTGTCATGGCACGGCGAGTGACAGGCTGGGCATAAGGCATGACGAATGCGTTTGTCTCAGGGTCGAAGTAGGCTTGGTCACCACCCATATAACCTTGATCGTAATCCTCATAGTACTGAGCGGCGGCGGCGGCACGAGGAGCGCGAGCAGGAGCACCACCTTGGGCCATAGCAGGCATAGGAGGCATTGGTGGAGGCGCCTCCTCGCTCTCTCCAAAGTACTCCTTGTAGAAAGAACGGATACGGTTGGCACGGTACTCAGGATCCTCAGACTCGTTGATATCATCCGGAGGAAGAGGTCGGAATCCAACTGAAAGGCGCTTGCTGTCTTGATGAGGAACTCCGAGGGCATTCTGCTGAGGCGCAGCTTCGACAAATGATCCTCGCTGCATGGAACGACCACGGGCGTCGTCATCATGGTCCTCATAGTAACTTGAAATGTCAGCGGCAGCATAGTTGGAACCTTCGCTCTGTCGGTTTTGAGCAAGAGGAGCGGATTTCGGAGCATCGGGAGAGGACACGGTAGGAGACTTGGGCTGAGGAAGAGAGAAGTTCAAACCCAGACCAGTTGCCTCATGCTCACGAGCAGGAGGCAGAGGGAAGTCGGTAGCAGGTTCCTGTGAGAAGTTGGGCAACTCAAAATCAGGAGTCTTGGATCGCGCGACAGGAGGTTGTTGAACAGAGGGAACAGCATGCTTCTCATCGAAGTCGGAAACGACTCCAATCTCAGGGACGATAGGAGCAGGGTGGAAACCATCATTGTCAGAATCAAAAGGAGACTTGGCTTGGTGGGCTGGCGCGGGCATCTTGGGAGTGCCGAAAGGATCGACTCTGGATTCAGTTGCAGAGACTGGTGTCTCAGGTAAGGAGTTCATGCGCGAGGGAGGCATCTTGAGACTTCCAGGCTTACCCGAGTTACGGGGACTGTTAAATTTAGTATTGTGCGAGTGGGAATCCTTGGGTTTAAAGGACCGCAATGAGCCGGTCTCGCTTTGCGTAATGGCTGCAACGTACTGGTAAGGGTCCTGATTATCATTTCCCAACGACTTAGCCAGAGAGTTGAGTGACTCGCGCGATTCCTGAAGGCCTGGAGGCAACAAGTAAGGCGATGAGAGGTTCATATCCATTGACAGCTGACTGGGTTTGTGGGCGAGTGTCTTCTCACCCCCTCCCATAAAGATGCTACGACGAGCAGACTTCTTTCCGCTGCCATCGTCCAGTCCGAAGTCCAGGCTCTTGTGGGGGTCGTGGGCATCCTCCATCAACTGCTTCTTCATGTTTCTACGATGAAGGTAGAACAAGAAGCCGACAATAAGAACAATAGGCACACTAAACAAACCAATGTCAGCAAACACGATCCAGTCGACGACTGATTCCAAAATCAAAGGCGCGGTTAGAAGCATACATGATAGCGATGACGATAGGAACGACCAAGCTGCTTGCACTTGCTGCTGCGCAAGTGTTGTCATCCTTGCAGTTTTCTCTAGCGACTAGTCGGCGAAAGATGGATGACGAAGAGGCTGTCTTTTGAGAAATCGAGGAAACATGTTGGCCAATTTCGGCGCGCTGGCCTTGATAGTGAGCAAGCCCCATGGTGTTGTTGTTGTCGTTGCTAGCGCATACACTGTATACAAAGATGTCGGTCGTCAAAGTTGTTTTGGTTCCTCCAAAGAAAATTCGTCAGGTGGCATGTAAGAATATTAAGAATTGTCGAAAATTAACGTCCGAAAACACAGATGTCGGAATTATACAGCTGATATGTAGGCGATAGTATTAATAGAGAGCTGGTGCTTCTACAACTATCGTCTTCACTGAATGTTGTCGATACGGCAGTCGAATGAATGAGAAACTGAAATCGGTTCGTTCAAGGATCGCAAGAAGCGTGGAAACGGGTACTGGGCACCGTAGGATCGGAAAGAACGAGACTGAAATGCCAAAAGCTAGTGAGCAGAAGCTATTGAGCGATTGTGGTGTTGTGAAAGAAGGTCGCGGTCACTAAACAATAGACCAAACAGAACGAATGACTTGAGCTTTTAGGCTCTAGAATTAAGCAGTTATAAAAGAGTGGAAGCCCGCTGGCGCGCAGCTTTGGCAAAAATGCAGAATGATGCTGTCGTCGTCAACCGAAGAACAGTTGGAGAACGAAAGAAAGAAACGACGAATGAGTGAGAGAAGGAGAGTAGTAGGTAAAGAGGAAGAGGAGGTGGTGGAGCTTGATGTGAGTGGAGCACTACGGGAGAGGCACAGGAGTAGCTTAGGAGAGGCAGGTACAGATAAGTAAGGAAGCGAACCTCTCCACCAGAGATAACCTGGACAACACAAAAGAGACAGCCTCAGTGCCTAGCTGAGAACGTTATTCCCCTGCTTCACTGGTCGAAATGCCCTGCCACAGCGAGTTTCTCGTTATTTTTCACAGAGCCATAATGCTTGAGACTCCCCGTCGGGAGGGCCGCCAACGCAGCAAAGACAGGGGATAAAGACCGTTCATGGATCCCGCCCATCCCAGACAATGCGCCTGTGCTTTGGTCAAACTAGTTGTTAAACGATATCCCAATCAGGGGAGACACGACGGAGCGAAATGGAGTGACACCAGTTCAAACCATCGGATTGGCCCTCGAACCCTGGTCTTTTTCGACCCCTTCCAAGGACTCCTCCAAGAGAGATTAAGGTGGACCTTGGAACAGCTTTCTCAGCGCATCCTATTGACCTATTCATGGATCCATGGGGAGTTTGCAACAAGGACCGGTCAAGGCTCAAAATCGTCATGGAGGCCTTGCCCGGTGCACAACGACAGATGGAAGATTGATTGCGTTGCGTTGCTTGGGCCAGCCATTGACGCATCCCCATAAGCAACTTCACAGTCATCAACTAACAAACGCAGATACCAATGTGCGGATACTCAAGCCTCTTTCGCAAGCCTTTCCCCAAGCCGACTGAAGGCAGGAAATAAAGAACCGTTTAATTTCCAAAAAGACTCTCTTGCCTCGCCACCCCGTTAGCGCCCGCATCAAACCACCAGTCACAACAGCCATGGATACCCAAAAGAAGCTTCAGAAGCTGGTTGTGGATGCACAACCAGGCACAATCTCGCACAAAGCGACAAGTCAAGATGCACAATCGGCCCCTGGCCAGTCAAATCACAAGAATGGATTGAGTTATGAGCGCTTCATGCAAGGCACGAGTCTAGGTTCCAGACTAATCCCGGTTATCAGGTGGAGCATCCGATCAGGGAACAGGCACTGAGCCAACGAATGCCGTGGAACTGGTTTGCTTGGACAACACCAAGCCTTGAAAAGGAAAGTAAATAAAGGGGGAGAAGTTTCTATCCCGCTTGTCCGCAACACAGTGGCGTCAGGGGCGCTTGCTAGTTAATAAGCAGGTCAAGTCAATTGTGGTGGCTGCTGCAGGTACAAGTTGCACTGCATAGTTGGGCCGACAATTAAAGGCCTCGAAGTTCTTTTGGACGAACTCGTCCCGGCACTTGAGACCTCAAGGCAGTATCCGCTACAAATGACCGAAGACGTTCTGTAGTCTCCCGTTACCAGCTAACTGGGCGACGCTGGGTAAGACATTACACTTGAAAGCGTCAAAAAAAACTTCACTCGCGAAAACACAGTCAATCTCCACCATCTCATACTGTCGATTTCCCGGTTTCTACCCCTGGCTGAGCAACTAGCTGCAGGTGGTTACAAGAGATCGTCAACTCCCTCATGTCAAGATGCATATCACCAATTATTTAAAGGCTGAGTCGTTCCGACAGCATGTTCCTGCATTATATTCTTCTAGTTGCCGTGGGTCATAATTTCAACAATTACCCACAATGCACTGTTTAATGCAATGCAGCTTTGTGCATGTCTCCTTCGCTTCCATGCTTTTGTTACTCGCCATTAGCAGTTGTGTCGCTTGCCCACGTACAACGCACACACAGACAGACAGACAGTGGGGGGATCTTGATTACACCAAATTGCAGGAACTAAAAATTAATAGACGATGACAATATGGAGCTTGCAATTTGAGCCGATGGCCTCGTCCTCGAGCCGTCTTCGCGGCATATTTCACCGATCCGCCGGGGAAACCGGATGCTTATTTTGGTCTCAGATTTGATGAGGTTCCCTGATATTTTGAGACGAAGCTATTGCCATTGTTACCTTACATGCTGGATGGCAAACCCATAAGGTTGTTTTGAAGCTTGTTTTGCTTCTTTGGCGAGACTCTTCCATTGTGTTACCATTACGTCCACATTGATATTGAATTCCGTCTGATGGCGGTCAGTGACAAATTAATTACCCCGTAGTCTGACTGCTGACAGGCAAGCTAGCTTGTTAATGTCCATGGGTATCCCTATAATATCTCATAACCAGACTCGTCAGATCAAGGCAATTCCCTAGGAAATCAAGCTGTGGCCCCGTCATGCCATCTGACTTTGAATCAAGCAAGTAATTGGCGTTTTCTTTGTCGCTTGTGGGGAAATGGCGAAATGCCTCACACTGTAGCCAACATTTATTGTCCTTAATGCCGAAGTTCTGAAACCGCCATTCATCTGCCAACCTAGCTATTTCCTGTCTTGGCCTTCCTGGCAGTTTCACCTGGTTGTCACTGGCCCCGTTTGTATCCGTCTCTGTTCTCATCCCCGTCGATCGGTCGTGATCTTGTAGAACTCTGGTGCATACTCCAGGAGCCAGGTCTTCTCGATCTTGGTGACATCCCTGATGAATATCTTGCTGCCAGTTTCCATCGCTTCGTGGAAGATGACCCAGTCTGCCTTGCGGTTGAACATGAGTGAAGTGGGATGCGCGTGAAGAACCATATTACCCTCCACGTTGCGAAACGTCCCGTCTGGCTGCATCCTTGCTGCATGGGCAAAATAGCCCGATGTAAGACAACGGCGGATCTGTTCTGCCTTTTTGGCGTTGTCTTCTGGTGATGCTTGGCCGGTGAGGGTTTCATCGACATTAATACTGAATCGTTCAAGATACCGTTTGAGTTGTGCTCGAATGCTGACCGCTCGACTCATCGACTTGTAGTTGAGGTTGTTGTCATGACAGAACTTTGCTTCTTTCCGACCCTTGGTGACAAAAGCTTGGTAGGCGTTGAGCAGTGTCAAATGGTCGCCCTCCTCGACAGCAAACTTTCTGCGTGATGTTTCCATCTTCTTTCTTTCGCCCTCATGGGAGAACCATACACTGCCTCCAAGGCTTGTCATAGCCGCAATAGTTAGCATCTCGCTCAAGCATCCAAATGATGGTGCTGCTAGAAGCGTTTTTGCCATCATCGGCTCAACAGCCAACTCAGCCATCCTAGAACCCATAGGTCGAGTAAGCTTGGCATATTCATCCAGGGCTCCAAGGGCGTATAGTAACTCGAGAGCCTTTGCCATGAGTTCAGACGGTGGTGGAGAGAGAAAATCGAACCGCACAATGTTGTCTATACCCAAAGCTTTAAGCTGGAGAACAACAGGTGCCAGATTCGATCGCTGCAGCTCAGGAATATTGGCATGTTTTAGTGATTGATAGCTCTGCTCGGTATATAATCGAAAGCATTTCCCAGGTTTTGTTCGACCAGCTCGTCCGGCACGTTGAGATGCAGCCGCCTTGGAAACGGGTGTGGCAGTGAGGGACTCTATGCCTGTCCTTGGATCGTATGCCCTTAATTTCACGAAGCCACTATCAACCACGAAAACAATTCCATCGATGGTGACTGAAGCTTCTGCGATATTCGTTGAAAATACGACCTTTCGAGTGCCCTCGGATGGCTTGTCAAACACATACATCTGCTGTTCTGTTGACAAGCCCGCATATAGTGGCAGTGGCATCAATGGGCCGTATTTGGAATTGAGGTCCATCATCCGCTCACTGACTGCTTGTATTGCATTGTCAATCTCCTCGCGACCAGTCAGGAAGACTAGGATGTCCCCTTCACCCTCTTGGGTATGTATGTCGAAAACGACATCGATAGCCTTCTCAACGTAGTTTTCTGCTGGTGACTCCAGATATAGTATATCTATGGGATATGTCCTTCCCTCGAGACTCACGATGGCACCAACCTCGTCTTTCTTCTCTTTATCGCTGTTCTTGCTATTGTTTTGATCATCGCTGCTTGATGTAAAGAAGTCCAAAAATTCCTTGGCTTGTAGGGTAGCACTGCTGATGATGATACGCAACTCAGGTCGCTTCCGGTGAATCTTTTTGAGAAGGCCTAGTAAGACGTCGGTACTGATAGATCTCTCATGTGCCTCATCTACCATGACGACTGAGTATCGCGTCAACAGCGGGTCAACGAGAGCCTCCCTGATAAGGAGACCGTCTGTGAGAAACTTTATCTTGGTTGAGGCCGAGGTCACATCTTCAAAGCGTATTGAGTATCCAACCTCTTTGCCTAGTTCACAGCCAACTTCCTCTGCAACACGTACTGCTACCGTGGTTGCCGCGACACGACGAGGCTGGTGGATGTCAGTAACTTTGTGGATATGGATATAGCTTCGTACTAACCTGAGTGACACCGATGATTTTTCCATCTGAACACCAGCCTGCTTGTTCCAGGAATTGTGGGATCTGCGTTGTTTTTCCAGAGCCTGTTTGGCCTATGACAATAGTGACAGGGTGTTTCTCAATAACATATAAAAGGCTTTCGCGGTGTTGTGCGATAGGAAGTAATGCTGCTGGTTTGTGAAGAGCTGGAATAAAGGAGGCATCCAGGTCTAAGTCGGTCATCTTGATACAATCAGATTGCTTTGTACGACCCTGAAGCCGAGAAAGGTATGGGAGGTTCAAACGCGCGTATAGGTCTTCACTATAACCTCATGAAAGTCACTTTGTTTACATACAATCAATGTTATGCGAAGCACTGAGGTTTCTCAGTTAAGCTTCTGTGCATTGAAGCTACCCTAGAGTTGACATGAGCTATGTCGCAAGATTGTGGTAACCAATCACAGAAGTGAATCGTATGAGGGTGCATTGTGGCGAGTGGGTCAACGTCATCAGCTTCGTGTAGGCTAATTGACCCCTCGCGCCTCACTCGACATTAGTATCACGAGCAAGGCCAGGCTGAAGCGAAATCCCCAATTTCCCTCGACATTGCCATATTTCAGCCAACCTCAATCAAATTTCGTCTATATAATCGTGGCATTTTGAGCTCCAACTCAAGTCGTACCAAAGAGAAGTGCGATCACGATGTCAGCCCCTGGAGAAACGGTACAGTACTCCTGTCAAGAGCCGTCTTAGTACAGCTGCGATCAGAGGACGAGCGCTAACATCCCTTTCGATGAAGAACAAGGCCACCACCGAGAGTGGCCCTGAGTCGCCTACTACTGCCCGACCTCTTGATCTCGACGATGACGATGTTCAGGAATCGGGCGTTCTAGGAGGTGACGATGGCAACACCACAACTGCTGCTGTGACAAACACCTCCCAGCCCAAGAGTCCTGCCCAGGTCCAGGCCCCGACTTCAACAAACGAGGCAGCGCCTCCTAAGCCTCCCCGTCCTGTCTCCGAAACCCAACAGAACGAGGCCATACTTAAGGAAGCTTTCCCTAGTGTAGAGTTAAGTGTCATCAAGGCTGTGCTGAGAGCTAGCGGTGGTCGCGTTGAGCCTGCGTTTAACGCTCTGCTGGGTTTGTTCCACATAACCATACCCCGAAGGCACAGTAGACTAACATACGCATAGAGTTGACTGACCCAGATGCTGCCCAAAACGAACCCACCGATGTCCCACCTCCTCAGCCCCCCAGACCCCAGAACCGATCTCAGATGTCGCAAATGGAGGCAGATGAACTATATGCACGCCAGCTCGCGGAACACTATGACAATGTCGGTGACTACGAGAACCGAACTGCCAACCGTGGAGCCAACGATGGACGGCAAAGACAAGGACAACAAGGACAACAAGGCCCGGAATGGGGCGACGATCGCGAGCACAGCTTCCTCGACGACGACCTCCCTGTCATTCGCGAAAACCTTCGAAAGGGGTTCTTTGAGACACAAGAGAAGGTCAACGGATGGATCACAAACCTGAAGAAGAAGATTGAAGAGAATTTCGATGAAAGCGAGGAGCAGACACAAAGTCAAGGACAGCCTTTCCGTCGTCCTGGAGAGTCTAGCCGCCGGAGCGGTGATTATGATCGATATGACGCGGACCCTCAAGTGCTCAGCGATGACTTCGCTGGCATGAAGTTCTCATCTGATGGAAGTGAGTATCGCGTACACAATGAGCCAAAGCAAATATTGACGATTTTAGCTCCCATGAACCGGCCTATGGCTAACACTGGCATGTACAAGCCTCCGCCCCCATCAACTTCACCCAAGCCTAGCAACGGCCGACGAGTTGGCTTCAAGGAGGAAACAGAAGAGATCAACATGTACGATTCATCACCACGAGTGCCACCCAAGGATGCGGCCCCTAGCAGCGGTACGAGAGGAAGCAAGTGGCAACCTATGTCCGCCGTTGAACCAAGCCCCATCGTAGAGAACGACCCATTCAGCTTGGGAGATAGTGAAGATGAGAGGGAGACACATCAGAAGCCCAAGGATGATAAGACTGATGATAGCGAGCGCCTGAAGAAGGCGACTGCTGAAGCCATGGCTGACAGCCTAGCCGAGTCAAAAGAGACAGACGCAAAGATAAATTAGATATATGGTGTGGAATGACTATACGATCGCCATGCGGTCCCGGAGGGGGGTCGATAGTGTGTTAAGACATAACTGAGAACCAAAAACAGCCGCACTGAAGAGGTTGTTGTTGCATCAGCTATATCGATAACATGGGTAGTCAGACCCTGGGTATAACCCTGCGTCGTAGTTTTCAATAAGTAGCATAGTAAAGCCTTTCGATATTTCACCACAATAACTTGTCCTTATGTACTGCGTGTTATATACAGTCGCAATTATCCGGGGTGGGGCGTAACCGGGAGAAGTTCATCTTGTATAGACTTGGCGTAAAGGAGTTACTTGGCCCGCAGAGGGAAACAAGGCTCACGATGTTTCTGCCTGACTGGCCTTTGCTGGTTGTGATGATATGGCACAAATTGAGCTTGAAAGATTCCATTACTCAGAAACTAAGAAAGCAGAGGCACACACCGAGTCGTGCAAGTGATCACGACAGAACCGAATGGGAAACAATGATGTAATTACAAGAGCAGGAAGTTCATCTCGAAAGGGCTGAAGTTGGACACCAACCGCAGGGTTTAGTTTAAGAGATGGGCCCAGATCCTCTTTGGCCTCCTTGTTCATGACGTTTCTCCTCGGGTTTACCGATAGAAACACAGCAGGTCATTGGGTTTGGCGATAAGTTGAGCGGCGCTGCGCGTTGGCCGCGCGGAGAAACACCAAAGAGGCTCCGTTGCGATGCATCCACAATATATAGCTAAATGGAGATACAGTAGTATCGCCCCCCCGGAGTTGCAAGCCGGACCTGTCGCTCAAGCACGGGGTCAGATACGGGATGACTATTGGATGCGCAAGCCGTGCAGCCACCGGATGAGATTAGCGGATGCTTGTTACTGGGTCCTGTGGATGCTAAAGATGTATCTTTGCAGTAGTGTCAGATGTATGCGATTCTGTTAAGGACCTAGCTCAAAGGATAGAGACGCCAACTCGAGCCTCTTAATTGCCCCGCCATTGTTCGCGACGTCGTGGGATTATGGAGGTCACAGTGAGAGAACCGTGATTAAGTCGTCTAAAGAAAGAGGAGAAGGAGGAGGGGAAAAGGGGGGACAATGCAAGAGCACGAGGCCAATTATTGCTTCAATTTATATGTCAATTGGTATGATCTAAGTATATTATTCATGAGCTCGACCTATCATTGGCTGTCTCCACTTCTTTTCGACTACCATTCGCGGTTGACCGTCTCGTTAGTAGATGGGAAAGAGCCACTGGGCTGAGTTTGAGAGCGTCAAAGTGGACGTCCACCGCACTTAGGTACCTTTACCTAACGTTACCTGCTAAAAAAAGGCCCCTAGTTACCTGTCCAGAGGGGCGCCTGAGGTTTTTGACTTCCTGTCATGACCTCTTGTCATACTAATTAAGAGAAAAAAAACCGAGCACCATTATTTCGTTTGTGTTCTTTTTTAGACTCTTAAGTATCTACAAAGGCACTTACCTAGTATTGTACTGCTGCGAAATTCTGTTTGACCAAAAAAAAAAAAAAAAAAAAAGATCGTTGCTGTTGCCGTTTTCGACAACGCCTCCAGATCCACGTCACGTCAACTCAACTCGACTCGACTCAACACAATCTTAGCCAGACTCATCTCTTCTCAATTTAAGTAACTCAAACTCGGCCAATTTCGCCTCGACTCGACAAAGGTCTTAACAGGTCTGGACTCTTTACTCGGCGTATTTCGGTCAAGAGGAGACTGTTTCATATTTTGTTCTCATATTGTCGGTCTGTGCTTTATATTGCATTGTTTGACTGCTTGAGAACAAGTGCCTCGGCTTTTTTGGTGAGTGATGATCTCCAACATCCAATCGAATCATACCTGTCAATTCCTTCAAATCTACACTGGATCCCTACTTGAGTATACCTGCATGTATTTGGATGTCATACGTCAAGTCAAGAACGAATTATTTGAAACCCTTCATTTTTCCCTGGCTAGCCATGCAAATCTCACGCCCTTTGCCTTTGACTGGACTGGAGTCAAGAGCATAGATGCTGGTTATGCTACCCCCCCACGTGCCCTCCAGGAGTCGATCTCGCAGGTTGTCTGTGAAGGAACCGGGCTGTCGGTGACGGGTCGAGCGAGACCCTGAGAAACCGGGCGTTTATCGTCTGACTCTTTATATCACGAGCTTGTGTCGGAGAGGAAAAGACAAGCGGAATAACTTGGAAGAAAGTGGTTGTGGTTGTTGTGAAGAAGAGGATACACGCATCCACAGGGCCTCAACTCACACTTGAACACTACTCCACCCGGCTTCAATCAAACCTGGCTCTACGACTCGGACTCAGCTGTTCTCGCCATGACTTGACCTCCAGGTTTACTGATCTCTATGGAGCATTTCTGAGACCCATTCCTTGCTTTACTTTCCTTCGCTTTTCCCTGGTCATGTCTCCGCTGCTGGACCCTATAACGCTATCTACCTATCCCCTCCCCCAACACTCGCTGCTGCACACACGTACAAAAGACACACAAAGATACCACGCAGACACTGTAACTGACACTGAGACTCGCATATCTTCAGCCACACATACACGCTCATCATCTCCCCTCCAAACAGGGAACCGGCAGTAACCACCTTTCTTACTTACTCGTTCCTTGCCTGCTCTTCTTTAAGTCGCCAGTAGCCCCCGAGGGCGCACACGCCGCAACATGTAAGTTATATACGTCCTTGACCTTGTTCTATCTTTGGAGTTTGCTCAGCCCACAGTGGTTCAGTAACTCCTCGAGAATCCACTCTTAGCTGGAAGCTCGTCACAGAATAATGGACTACTCTCTGGTCATAGCATACACCCCGAGTACACAACTTTGCTCACGCTCTCTTCTAGGAAGTTTGGCAAGCAGATCCAGAAACGTCAGCTCGAGGTGCCCGAATATGCTGCCAGCTTTGTCAACTACAAGGCCCTGAAAAAGGTATGCCCTTGCCATTTCCGCCCCGGCAACCTTTCCCTTCCCGCCACCGAGAAACCCCCGTCTCCCGTCTGCCGTCTCCGCTGTCATCTCCCATAGCGCCTGGTCCACTACATCATTTTCCCTATTCCAGTTGCGTTGCTCGGTCTGGATTACACTGTTCAGCCCGGTCTGCTAAAATTATTTCGTTCATCTTCGTGCCTTACCCTTACCCTACTTGCCGTTCTAGCCCCAACTTCTCCGACTCTCTGCCCTGCTTTAGTCACTGATGCCGATCTCATCACGGCAGGAAGTATCACGTTGTGTGTAACAGTGGCTGATGAGAAGCAATTCCCTGTTTATCCATTCTTTCTACTGTTTTCAAGCACGTTTCCTCGATCGCTTCCAACATCTGATGTGGCAATTACTTGGCTCAACTTCCACTAACACACTGATGTATAGCTCATCAAGAAGCTGTCTGCGACCCCTACCCTAACCTCACAAAACGATGTTCTCCGCTCAGCCACCCCCGTGGACTCCCAGGCCGCTCTTCAAGCCAACAAGGCGACCTTCTTCTTCCAACTGGTAAGTCCGTCTGTTGATACGCTTCCGCCATGAACATCCCGGTATGGCTGCTAAACGATAAACAGGAACGAGAACTCGACAAGGTCAATGCATTTTACATGCAGAAAGAGGCCGAGGTTCGTGACACATCCGCTTCAAAGCCCTCCCGTCATCGGTATCACTATCTTACAGACAGCAGCTCAAAATTCGCCTCAAGACACTCCTAGACAAGAAGAAGGTGTTGCAGTCCCGTCAAGGCATCTCCAGGCGCTCTGCTAAATTCACAACCCTCGAGGAAGGCTTCCAACAGTTTGCTACAGACTTGAACAAGCTGCAGCAGTTTGTTGAGATCAATGGTACCGCCTTTTCTAAGATCTTGAAGAAGTGGGATAAGACCTCGAAATCCAAGACTAAGGAGCTATACCTATCAAGGGCTGTCGAGGTTCAACCTTTCTTCAATGCAACAGTCATAAGCGAACTGTCTGACCAAGCCACTACGAGTTTACAGGAACTCGGTGCTTGGTCAGACGGCATCCAGGTCAATTTCCAGTCTGGGCATGTCGTAACATCGCAGCACTTCGTTGGTACTGATGAGGGAGACGCCGATACATTGCTTCTCGACACTGTCATCACAGGAAATCTTGAATCGTTGAAGGATCTTCTCCTACGGATGCGCTCTGCAAACGAGGCTGTCGATGGTGATAGCTCGTTGATGGAGAGGATCACACGCACCTTCTTGGCAGCTATATCCGAAGCTCCGCAAGAGTCTCTACGAGTCCTTCTTGACACAGGTCTCGTTGATCTCCACTCTTACGATGACATCAACGAAAGGAATTGCTTGCACCAGGCCGCCATCTATGGGAAGCACTATGTTTTGGAATGGGGGTTGTCTGTCAATGTCGTTGTGGATAGGACGGATGTCTATGGTCGAGTCCCTCTGCATTATGCTAGCCTTCACGGGAGGTTGGAGATGCTGAAGGTCCTTCTTGATGGTAAGTTGAGAGATGATATCACCCATGAAATTACTTGGGCTGACAACTGTTTAGCAAACCAACGCACGATCGATCTTACAGACCACGATAACTTCACCCCCTTGATCCATTCTATCATCCACGGTCATCTCAATTGTATCGAACTTCTCCTTGCTAGATCCGCACGCATTGACCCGGTTTCTGACGCTGATCACGTACCACTCAACCTCGCTTGCGAACATGGCTCTGTCGCTGTTGTCGAAATGCTCCTGAAGCACGGGGCCAATATCTTGCCTGATGCCGAAGGCCTATATCCCCAGCATCTTGTAGCAAGGGCAGGCCAAACATCGGAGCTCCTTCTTCTTCTCAAAGAATTTGGCGCTGATTTGGACCAAATTGACAAGTTGTATGGATGGACGCCCTTGGTCCATTCTGCAAGCGAAGGAAACGTCGACTGTCTTCAAGCACTTCTCAAGGTCGGAGTTGACACCAATATTGTGGATGAGAAGGATCTTCCTGCAATGTATTACGCTGCCTGGGAGGGACATCTTGCATG